ATGGCAGACTCGGTCATGGCGGTAGCATCGCCGGCGACCATCTGCAGGTTCTGGGGAATGGCGACCTCAGCAGGGGTCTCGCCGAGGTTGTAGTAGGCGCTGAAGCGCGAGACGGGCATGGGCTCGTAGGTCTTGCCGCCGTCGGTGGTGTAGAGCGGCGTGGGGATCCAGTAGACGGAGAGATCGTTGGGGTTCTCGGCGTTAGTGCAGCCCTTCTGGAGCTCGGCGCTGGTCTTGGTGTTGATGGTGACGGCGTCGGAGCCGAAGAAAGAGTGCAAGTGAGACTTGTCGTACTGGCCCGGGAAGACGATGGGGTCAATGTTCTTGGTCATGAAGGGAGTGGCGACGTTGACCTGGGTGTAGGCCTGAGCCACACCGGCGAGCAGGCCGGTGGCTAAAAGAATGGAAGAGGACATCCTGTGTCTTGTGAAGTGAATGAACGAACGTTGGATTAGACGAAAACGAGAGAATGGAGGCCGACGGTCAACCTAAATGAATGAAATGGAAGCTGGAGAACAAGAGAACTGGTGTCATGATGAGAATTGGATGGGATTTCACCTTAAGTACTCAATCAACGATGTTATGCTATTGCCTACCTACACGCACAGAGGAGAATATGTGATCCAACCCCTTCTCCTCATTAATTTCCGTCCACGTTTCGCGCCTTCGTGGAGAACAGGGATGATTCCGAGTGGGAACGGCGGGAAGCAGCGGAGAATTCGGACAAGGGCAGCACCACAATTGATGCGATGGCAGGTTCACGCTGATTGGGCAAACCCTGAACGGCAGCAAGAAAGACGCTAGTGTCGTCCAGCTCCGCCACGTCCGCTTTAGGAGCTGCGAAACAACAAACCGTCGAACGGCCTATGGATCTGGCCCCTTAATCAATCTGACAAGAAGCGTAACTGTGTTTGTCTTTTCGGAACCGCCAAGATCGGTTGACATGCTCTCGGTAGCGGACATTTTGCTTTGTTTGACCTGCCAAGAGTGGGAACACTTCCGTATGCACTCGCCATGGTTGGAATTGTTTGCAGATGCCCCCTGTTTCCCGTATGGCCCCAGTTCCTATTAGAGGGCAGTGATCCAAGGCGGCTGAGACGGATCGAGCAGCGCTTAGATATCCGTCTGGTCCATTTCGCCTTGGTCGGCGCCCTAGTCATGGGGTTCCAATGACCTGAGAGGTTGCGGTAGGCGCCGGGGTTGCATCTCGTCTGATCCTGATTGCGCCGTTGGCTGCACTCACCACCTGCAGCCCCGTGCACCGCCGTCGAGACGAACATCGGCTCCGAGGGTGCATGACTGCAAATCTCGTCAGGGGTCGTGATAAGCCATGCAAAATGCTGCCCATACGTCATAGACACAATGTTTCGAGTAGATGCAAGCGCAGCCGAGACGGGGAGATTCCGAGCATATGCTTGAATGGGCGGTAAGAATGATCTTCATCTAGGTAGGGAAGGGTAACGGCACAACGACCGGCCTCGGAGGAGCCCTTGACCTTTGATGCGGCTACAATATTTTGAGGCTTAGTCGGCTAAAACATGCGAAAGCGAAATTCCATCTGGTCGGGTCCATACGATCGGTCCAGCCTGTAGCGTAATGAGAAGGACCAGCGCACTCGTCAAGAAGCGTCTAGCGTGCTAGGATCGGGATGTGGTGCCGTGCCATCCCGTTGGTCTTCTGCGCGCGTAGTGAACTCAATGGAACATAGAGCGCGCAGTGGGCTTTTCCTTCTAGAACTTTGTTAGTAGCGCATTCAATGCAGTGAGCAACTTCAACACAGGTCCCCCATGCGCAAGAAAAACATAGAAAGCAAAGTGTCCTTCCAAATGATGGTTGTAGAAGCAAGTTCCCAGCGCTTCTCTATGTGGCTTGGGAAGTCTCTGCTCCCACCGGCGGCGTGTTCTCAATTTTTGTTGAAGCGAAGCATCAGATAGATTGTTGACAGGGGCCCCTGGTCAATGCGGCTTTGACTTTGACGTTCTAGAGTCCTGGACTGATAGGGATGAACTCCTGGAACCCATCGAACCTGTTCGTGCACGATCGAATTTTCTGTGATCGTACGTGTGCAGTCTTGGCTTTTAGGCCGATCAACTAGGGTAGGGATGGCCAATATTCGGCTCTAGCTGACTCTACATGGTAGGCAATCATCTCGTGTAAGCTTATCGGATGTTGTTCGCTAAGGTTTCTATTGTTCAGATCTCGGGAAGAGGCTGCTTTGCTTGGAAAACTAATGCCGAGGCAATCTCCTGTAGTGTTTTCCAGATACAATATTGTAAAGAAGGCGACATTGCGAGATGGAGTTCGTAATTGACCTGCGGTTCCAGGTGGGCAAAGAGGAAAACATAGTCGTCACCCACTTACCGAAAGTCCAAGGCATGCTTTTCAAGGGAGAATGAAGGCCAAAAAGGGAGAATGGCCTTGGTGTTTTGAAAATTGAATGGTAGATCGCCTCCCTCTTGCGAAGCCGCATCTAATTGATTCCAATGCCTAGCTCATTATTCGAATGACTTAGTGTGTCGATGGTGATCTACGGACTGTCAAGTTAGCTTGAGATTTCCGCACTATCGGTCATGCTTAACATCGACTGACGCGTCACCACTTAAGCTTATCCCCGCGTTCGGCCTCAGAGTCCGAAAATTTCTATTACCAATAGGCGAGAAATACTGAGCTGGTACATCTGTCTAAATGATCCCCAATCAAGCAACATACGTGGTTCTTTCTCAAATCCCAGCAGTCTACAAAACCAAATATGATGCGCCGTTGATGATCGACCAGCCACATTTGGGTACCGCGCTCCTCTTCTTCTCCAAAAGCAACCCGAATCCTATGTTCAATAGCCTAAATCACTGCCCAAATGTTGCGGTTCAACCTCAACCGAGCGATGACGAGAATTGCGGCGCCAAGAACTAGAGTTGCGCCTGTCCACATAGATAACGCCAGGTATCCGGAATGACTGAGAATTTGACCACTGATTGGCGGGCCGACAAGCGCACTGGTGATCAGAAAGTCAATATCTGCAGAACACTGTAGGCATTGAAGAAATACTCACGTTATGGATATAGATCCCATCATGAACCCTACCGCCAGACCTTGGCTCCGGTGGTGGGCAATCTTGCCGACACACGCTCCTTGCAAACTCATGACAGCCTGACGAGAAACGAGTCAGTGAACATGCCGCAAACTTCGAATTTGGAATGCCATACGCCGGAGAAAAAGCCATACGCCAAACTCCACACGGCCAGGCCACCGAGAGTGGTGGCGGCCGTCCAGCAAAACCCGACGATCCCGGCACAGAGAGTTGCGACCGCGCACATATTGAAATGTCCATATCGATCTGCAATGAGGCCGGGAATGACTCTGCCAAAGAAAGAGGCGGCATTGAGCCCGGATAGCAGATAAAAGGCAGTGGAGGAAGTCAATCCCTGGGCGATGCCGAAGGCTGATACGTAAAAGAGAGGTGTGAAAAGACCAAAGTACCCTATTGCAAGTCCGCCGCACAAGAGCATGAAAGACTTGTTCTTGAGAACGGAAAAATCCGTTTGCTTTTCAGATTGTGTGTCGTTGGCCATAGCTTGGTCAGCTTTTTCGTTGCTATCGGATGCGGGCTCAGATGGAGAGACTGGGGATCTGACAGCGGGTGCATCGACGACCGTTAGACATGCGATGCAAAGTAATGGAATCATGGTGAACGCGATGGCTCGCATTGTCCAGCCGAAGCTGATTTTTCGATGGTTGAGAAGTTGTTCAAGCATGATCGGCCAGATGATGCCCCCGATGGAGGAGCCTCCGATGGTGAGGCCGAGAGCTAGACCACGACGGTGGGGCATGCGGCGGGACACGACGGCGACTGGCGGGCAGAAGATGAGGGACATGCTCACGCCGAGAAGGACGCCTTGGGCCAGAAAGGCCTGGTAGTATTCCGTGCATAGAGATGTCATGAACAGTGCGAGGAGTTGCCCGATACTACCAACGCACAAGAGCATCTGCGAAGGAATTAGTTCCCTGTGCAGAGGTATCAAAGCTAAACTCCGTACCGTGGCGCCGACTCTGTCGCAAAGCATCCCAGACACAGGAGCACAGAGGTACAGAATAAAAATAGAGACCGAACCAATCCATGATATGTCGGATTCGGACTTATCAAAATACGATTGGTAGTATTCTTGGAACACGCCGAAGGCATTAAGAAAGCCAACTGTACAGAAGAGTGAGAGCGCTGCACCAAAGACAGCGAGCCATGACCGGAAACTGACTCTGTGTTAGTGCGCGAGGATGTCAGGAACGATCCGGGAACAAGGCACACACACCTGTCGTAGCCTGGCGGAGGCCGAAGTGCGTTCATGATGATTTGGTGATGAAGGCACTGAATAACTCTTGAGCTGATTGTAACTTCTTAGGGGTTAATCCCAGAGTTCTCATGATTGCGATATCACTTATTTAAATCAAGCATCGCGTGAGTGCTCAATGTGTTGGTCCGGCGCAGTAGTGAGGTAGCGTTAGCTTAGCCGCGGATAATCCGCGGAGGGCGCTTCATCCTCCGTGGAGCATCCACGGACGTCCTTGTCTCAACTTCCCACCAGCATTTCCATCGTCCTTGGCTGACTTCTTTCACTATCCGGCCACAGCCCATTGAAATGATGAAGCGTAGCACAGCGTCACAACAGGAAGAGTCTCAAAAACGGCGGCGGCAGCCGCAGGTCTCGTGCGACTCGTGCCGAAAGAAGAAGTTGAAGTGCGACCGTGGGGACCCTTGTTCAAGCTGCCTCATGCGCGGGTTGCCCTGCACCGGACAGCCAAGCCCGCCAAAGACAGCCGCAAATTCAAGGTTAGGTCCATGTTTCCTCATGTTTGTTCATTGATAACGGATAGAAAGCCCTGCCGTTGCAGTACCAAGCCCGCAGAACGGTGACTCCATTCTCGGCCGGCTCCGGAGGCTGGAGCAAGCGGTATTCGGCTCCGGGCCCACTGCGGCCAACGGACCTTCCGCGGAGCAAGCCTTGGCGATGTTTGACCCTCACGTTGACGATATGGAAAGCCAAAACGTTAGCTCTGTCGTAACGGGCTCTCGGAAGCCTTCGCCACCCCGCTCATCGACAAGACCAGTGACGATCAATGAGAGGCAGCAGACAGCGAAGTTCCTTGACTCCACGTTCACACGGCATGGCCTCAACGTGAGTAAAATGGCCGAGTGGTACTCTACGATCCTTGCTAACAAATGCAGATCTCTCTACCTCACGATAAGCTGGATTACCGCATCACCAACATCTCACAATTCCCACGAACACCGTCCACGACGGGACCAGGCCATACACCGACGGACGATATAGATGGACGAGCATCGACCTGGCTCATGACCCGTGAAGAAGCGATGTCGCTTCTCGAAGACTTCACTAACAACCCCTTCCACATGCTCCCCATCATTCACGCGCCAACGACTCGGGCCATGATCGATACTTTCTATAATACTTTGTCTCAAGGTCAAGACCCCAGTGCGGCCCAGGCAGCCTTGATCCTCAGCATCGCGGCCACCAGTGCCTTCTTTTTCAACGAGAACTCCAAGGCTTTCAGCACTTTTGCCTCGTCCGAGGATGCGACGCAAACCGCTCTGGCCTGGTTCCGATCCGCGCTCAACATTCTTGACCAGTCACAGCAGATCACCTACGGATGTCTGGCGGAAGTTCAGGCAAGGACAATACTGGCTTATCTGATTTACAACTTTGAGGGGTGTTCGGGGCGATTCAGATTTCTGCATTCCTGTTCTTTGGCTTCCGCGCGGGAAGGGTTGGTCCACCTTGTTGACTCTCCCAATTCGGAGCAACAGGACGATGCTACCACCAGGGAAATCAAAAGGCGCGTGTGGTGGCACATTGCTGCCACTGATTGGTAAGTATTCGCAGCTCACGATTGGAGTATTTGGCCTCTGATTATTCTTAGGATGCTTGGTCTCATGGGAGGGCCAACGGATGGGACTTACAGCGTTCAGCCGAGACAGATGAACGTCAAGTACCCCCGCAACATCAATGACGACGCCAACAGTCTTGCCAACGAAAACATCGACCATCCATCGCATACGGCGACGGGAATTTCATGCTTTCTCCGACGAATCCAGCTCGCCGAAATCACCCGTTCCATCATCGATGCCAGAACACCCGGCGCTCCTGATGCAGAGATTACAAACTACGATCAAGTCACCGCACTTGATCGTCTCTTTGCAGATGCCCTCGCAGAGCTCCCAGAGTTCCTACGTCCCGACGGACCGATCTCGCCGAGTGCACCTCTGCATCTTCACCTGCAGAGAGATGTTGTCCTTCTTGGTTTTCACTCTAGACGTGCCAGATTGCACAGACCATTCCTGCTTCACGATGCTCAAGACGCAGCTTACGAGCGCTCCCGAGACATCTGCCTGAAGTCGGCCCGGACAGTTTTGTCGATTGCCATCCGCTTGTTGAAGGGATCACAGAAGAGAGAGCCCATTCGTGCATACAATGCAAGAGCCATGGGCCGCCGGCTGGGATGTGTTATAGGACACATGTTCATGGCATGCACCATTCTTGCTTTGAACGCAGGCTTCGACACCAGTCGCGATCAGCAGAGAGGAGATGCGCCAAGTGATGGAGCGATTACGGATGCCACAGCAGAGACGCATGCTGAAGTTGCACAAGCTTGTCGTGCTCTAGCATCGGCGGGAGAAGAGTCTGCTGTTGCGGCGAGGCTAGTTCGGAACTTGGCCTGCGTGCTCCGTCGGTATCGGATTCAAGGTGTTGAAGACGTTGAAGGGTCAGTATCGGAGCATGCTCCCGAGCCAGCTCTTTCTGACATCCAGGACGCCCCCACGGCCTTTGGTAAATACTTGGATGTGGGAGACATGGCCTTTGGCGTTGATAATGTAGGTATGTCAAATGATGATCTTGGCTTGGGTGGGCTGTGGAATGGGATTACAGGAGACACATCAACCGCATATGGTTGGGATCAACTGTTTGCAGGTCTGGATACATATTGTGGCCAAACATCGGCGTTTTAAGTAGAGTTCTGCTATCCAGGCGGGTAGCGGGCATACCTAGACGAGAACAGGGGCGACGACGACAAAGACGACCATAGGAACAGGGACAAGGATATGGATAGGACCAGGGACTGCAGGGGACGGGGAGGGTGATGAGCATAGTAGAATTCTTTAGATGTGGTAAACTATTTAAAAATAACATAGGTTCTCTTCCCGGTTAGTTAGGTGTATCGGCCCCGATAGCATGATTCTTTAAATGCGCCGCTCGTGTCACATCCGCAAGACAAGTCAACGGGTATCAATTCTAAAGCTTCTCTCTTGCTTGACTCTAATGGCACAATATGGTACAGATTCTATGGCTACCCATCAATTAGACGACGTCTTTCCCATCCCGTCCCACCTCTCAAACGCCCTCGAATCCAAATCGAACAAATCTAGTAGCCTCCCTACCATCTGATTGAGAATATCATCAATTCCCGATGGTTTCGTATAGAATCCCACAACAGGCGGCGCGACAATCGCCCCAGCCCTCGTTACTTCCAGCATGTTCCTCAGATGAATCTCACTAAACGGCGTCTCTCGCACCGAAAGCACCAGCCGCTTCCGCTCCTTGAGACATACGTCGGCCGCCCTTGTGATCAGATCGTCGCAGATGCCCGCATTGATCGCAGCCAGCGTCTTGACGGAGCACGGGGCGACAATCATGCCGTTTACCCGGTAGGACCCGCTCGCAATCGGCGCGGCGAGGTCGTGGGCGCTGTAGGCGTGGTCTGCGAGAGCTTTCACCGCGGACGGGGTGTAGTCTGTCTCGTACTTTATTGTCTCGGCGGCCCATTTGCTGATGATGAGGTGTGTTTCCACGTTGAGGCGACGGAGGGTCTGGAGGATGTGAATGCCGATTTGAGCGCCTGTCGCGCCGGTGATGGCGACTATGATCTTTTTGCGGGGGTAGGTGTCTCTCATATTTGCTGCGTGGGCGTTGTGAAAGTAGTCGAGAACTTGATGAGCATACGCGTATAAAATTGTACTTCAAGATTGAATAATTGCAGCTGATGAGGGGACTTGCTTGTTGGTTTGAGGATATTCGTTGACTTCTGCTGGATATGTTCCGATAGAGTGACGGGGTCCTGGATATTTATCAGGACTCACCGGCGCTCGTTCGGAGAGCCGGTAGTGACCTCGTCGAACGACGAAATGTCCGAGACCCGCAAGATCGGCATCATCGAGCATAATGCGCGAGAGCCAAGGCCAATCAAGCTTTCTGGACTTGCTCGTAATGGGGAATCTCATGATCTCGGGGAAATCGGAGTGGACCTTGCCTCGCACTCGAGTCTCTCGGCGAATTCGGCCCCACATCTTACCTCCTTGCCAGCATCCGGAATCAAGGTGGCCACGAGATATAAATGATGCATGCTTGGCTGCGCAAGTTCAATTGTTGGAAGTCTGTATCATCATAAAGCAGATTCATAACATATTGAGCTTCTCAAGGAACATTTCTAGATCAAAACTTCATACGGTCCCCTAACATGTCTTCGACAAACCCGCAAGACCTCCCACACATGAACTTCCGCTCCTTCGTGGAAGCCCTCAAAGTCGACGGCGACCTCGTCGAGATTAACGAAGAATGCGACCCCAACCTAGAAGTCGGCGCCATCATCCGCAAGGTCGTTGAAAGCGACGAGCGCGCTCCACTCTTCAACAAGCTCAAGGGCCAGGATGACAACGGCCTCTGGCGCATCCTCGGCGCGCCCAACTCCCTCCGTGCCGACCCCTCGCAGCGATACGGCCGTCTGGCGCGTCACCTTGGTCTTCCACCTACTTCGAGCATGAAGGAGATTCTCGACAAGATGGTGGCTGCCAAGACCGCGACGCCCATCCCTCCCGTCGTCGTCGAGTCAGGCTCCTGCAAGGAGTTCCGCCTCACTCCAGATCAATTCGACCTCACGAAGCTTCCTGCCCCGATGTTGCACCAGTCCGATGGCGGAAAGTATATCCAGACATACGGGATGCACATCGTGCAGTCGCCGGATGGGAAGTGGACGAACTGGTCCATTGCCCGCGCCATGGTGCACGATAAGAACCACCTGGCTGGTCTGATCATCGAGCCGCAACATATCTGGCAGATCCACCAGATGTGGAAGAAGGAGGGCAAAGATATGCCGTGGGCGCTGGTGTTTGGTGTGCCCCCAGCGGCAATCATGGCTGCAAGCATGCCATTGCCTGGAGGTCTGCCAGAAGCGGAGTACATTGGCTCGCTCGGCGGCGCGGCGTTGGAGGTTGTGAAGTGTGATACCAATGACTTGTACGTGCCGGCGAACAGTGAGATTGTGTTCGAAGGTGTCTGCTCTGCGAAGGAGACGGCGCCAGAGGGACCATTTGGCGAAATGCACGGGTAAGTGACCATTGGTCAAGGGTTGGTATGTGAATTAACCAATGACGACAGATACGTTTTCCCTGGCGAAGCCAGACCTCAGCCAAAGTACAGAGTCGATCGCATCACACACCGAAAGGACGCTATTCTGCCCGTTTCCAACTGCGGCAGACTCACCGACGAAACAGTAAGCATTGCCTCACTCTACACATTCCTATCAGACACTAACATAGTAAGCACACGATGATCGGACCGCTCGCCGCGGCCGAGATCGGATTTCTCCTGAAGTCCAAGGGCGTCCCCATAAAGGAAGCCTTCTCACCCTTCGAGTCTCAGGTGACATGGGTCGCTGTCCAGGTCGACACCCAGAAGCTGCGGGCGATGGAAACCAATGCCAAGGACTTTTGCAAGACTATCGGTGAGATCGTCTTCAACGACAAGGTTGGGTACACAATCCACCGCCTCGTCATTGTTGGCGAGGACATTGACGTGTATAACTTCAAGGACGTCATATGGGCGTTCTGCACGAGGTGCCGTCCCGGCTTGGACGAGTATCACTTTGAGGAGGTCCGCGGGTTCCAGCTGATTCCGTACATGTCTCACGGAAACGGTGACAAGCATACTGGAGGAAAGGTTGTGTCCGACTGCTTGATGCCTACGGAGTACACGACTGGCAGGGACTGGGAGGCTGCGGACTTCAAGGAATCTTTCCCCGCTGAAGTGCAAGAGAAGGTTTTGCAAAAGTGGGAGGCGATGGGTTTCACGGAGAGGAAATGAAGTGTCCAAGATGGATACATGACATATTTTCTAGAACTTTATAGAAACTACTAGACAATAGAAGATAAACGATAGACCTTTCGATAGACCTTTCGCTGCCTAGGAAAGTCAAAGATCTCCATAGAGAACGATCTGGGACCTTAATACTCTTGTCATGCTTTGTTGAAAGCCGTACTCAGTGTGTTCAGGCATGTGCGCCTTTTTTATGGTACTATGCCCTTTAATTAAAACGCCATGACTGTAACAACATCTGGCTCATGTTGAGGAGGTTTCGTAGTCACCCGTACGATGATATACAGCAGGCAAATACAGCAAGCACCTGCCCAATGCGAGATAAATACGTTTCTCATGAGTCATTCGTTCTGGAGCCAAAGGGCTTTTAATAGGGATCTTTAAATTATATTTAGATGATTGGCAGAAATGAGTCTCCAGAGAAAGTTTGGTCTGACATGATATAGTCAAAGGCGCCAAGAGGTGACATGTCGAAGTTGAGAGGAAAGGACCAGTCGTCCCCACCCATATTCCAGAAGCTACACAGTCAGTTTCTATATTCAACGTTACCTAAGATGAGGACTCACCTATCTTGATCTCCTTGTTGAGCTGGGTTTTGACCAGAGTTGTTCTCCAGTGGTGCATCGTTTCTGTTAACCGCATCTTCATTACGACCTCGGGATATCAAGTCGCGATCCGCTAAACACTGAAGAGTCTGAAGAGCTTTCAGTGCCTTCTTCAGAGTCTCGGATAAATGCCCCGAGCTATCAGCCATCGAATCTGGGTCAGAATCCGAGAAACTTGTGATCATCTCGTCTTGTAGGGTCCGCGTCTCCGGTAGGTACCGCGTTTCACGCATCAGACTCAGCAATAAGACTGAAGTGAGCCCATTGTGAATGAAAGCCCAAGAACGTCTCGCGTGGCCCGTAATTGTTCTCAATCGGACGTATGCTCGAACACTGCGCCGGAGCGAGTCTCGAAACTGTTCCACAATGACAGATCGGTCAGTATCATCCACCTGCCTAGAGCTGGAACTAGAAATGAACGGCCGACAAAGAGTAGATACGACAAAGTTCTTGTGCAGTTCGAAAGCGTAAAACTCCTGCAGTTGGCGGATTGGTTCCCCTTTTTGAGGATCAGTGAGGTGTGGTGACAGGGAGATCTCGACTGAACGCATATCATCAAGCATGGCCAGCGGTTGGTTTGGAAGGCCCTGTCGTGAAGACACATGACGTAATGTGACGTGACATAGCCAGTTCATTGCTTCCAGATACGATATTCTTCCATTGGTGGGGGGATTTGTGAGAGGTGGTAGGTCTTCTTCGAAATCCATGTCATGAGACGCTGGCGGCCGGCCGAACGCAAGTGCCAGAAGAGCATCTTGCCAGACGATAGCCAATCTGTAGTTGGTGAGGCTGGGTTCGTCAGAGAATCGTGGATAGTTGCACCTACCTCAGATACTTGGCCTCTTCTTGAGGGATCAGTGCAGGCACCAAGCGGTCGGGTTTCTTGTGGATGCCGAGGCACTGGGCGAGACGGATTGTGGTTCCTCCTAGAACCCATGCTGCTTGTGGCTTCATGTCGTTTTGCAACACATTTCCAAGAAGAAGCAAGGTTTGGATTGCTTCTTTAGTTGGCTTCGCGAGATAGTCGGTGCATCTGAGAAGGTCGAAGGCGTGTTTTGCTAGAGCTTGTCAGATCGAGAGCGGCGGGGAACGAAGATTGGGTAATGCAGAGATTCAGACACCAAAGAGAATGTACGACTCACTGTGCTGCTGCGACAGTGCCAGCCTCTTATGAAATGAGAGTTCCGAGAACTGAGCACCAGTCGCCAGAATCGCATGAAGCAGGCAAAGCCACCGGGGGTCTTCTGGACATTCCGAGGCCGTAACACGTCCAGACGTGACAAGAGCGCAAGCTCTCGCCTCAATATGATCCAGATCGTACGTGATGACGTGAAACGGATGGGCTCTTTGCCGGAATACCTCAAACAGCCGGACAATCTCCTGGTCACTTGGCAAGGAGCTGAAGGACATCGCAGACGATGCTGTGTCGTCGCTGATCCCCAGGAGTGGCAGAATGCCGGTTTCGAAAGCCGACTGACGGGCCGGATCATCTCGTGAGCGAGGAGACCGCTGGCGGGCCATGTTCACCACTGAATTATCGGCTAGAAAAGTGGTATCCCCATTGGTTGTCACCGCAGTCCTGTGGCTCGACGATTCGCCTGTATTTGGAGAAGCAGCGGCATTGAGGCCTGGGCTCGCGTTTGTATGGTCTTGATATGTATCTGACGTTGAAAATGATGTTACACCGTGCCGATTGCGGTTAGGTTCCGGACTGCGAGTCGGCGGGTGCGGCGTCCTGTACCTAACGGGGGATCTGGACCCAAGGGATGTGCGTGGTTCGTAGCTGCACAGATCCGCATGACCCCGTTTTGAACAGGTAAAACAGGGACGTCCCTTATCGCACTTGACCTTGCGTTCACGACATGGCAGGCATGACTTAGGGTTGCCCCGAACACCGTTTTGCATGCGTTGACGAGATCGCAGGATATCCTTCAAAGTGGTCTCCGAGGCACTCGGAGTGCTCGGAAACTGCTGGGCCGAGTCTGCCATACCACCTTCGTCTCGAAACAGCTCAATCAACTATATGGTCAGTGAAGCAGATGTCGACAAAACCATAGAGAGTTGAGTTCGGTGAGTTGAACAGGCCTACAGCGGCGAAACAGGTGGGGAGAGGCTGCAGAACAGGCCTGATGCTGGGGTTATTGCGTGAGCAGAGGTGATATCGGAGGGTTGGAGAATTCACGTGCGCTTGCCCAGAACAATGTGCCAAGCTTGGTTTGAGGTTGTCGGCATGGTCGCGATATTCGGGATGACGTTGATTGAGGTCCAGCTGGGGCCCACTTAGCGCCGGTTTCGGAATTCGGCTCGGAGAAACATCGTGATGGAGATCGAATTGAAGGGACTTAGCTGGAGATGAGGGTCTCACTTATCAAGCAAGGCAAGAACACCTAGGTGACCAAGAAAATTGAATGTCCGATAATTTGAGAAGAAGTGGCATGCGGCACGAAGGCCGATATTCCGGTGTCTGCTGACGAGTTGGCAGGGCCCGCTTGCCTTGCGACGTGAAAGCACATTACTACATTAAATGCGTTCGACGATATATATCTGTAATGTTCACTCGCCTTGTGATGTGGTGCGGTCTAAGTTATAGTTCATTTGATCAGCCTCTATAGATTTGATTTGAGTTCTACTATCGAAGAATTTATCGATACACAAAGAGCGTCCCATCGTCTTGGACTTCAGAAACACAGAGAAGCCAAGGGTTTACTACGCCTGCTGCAAAAAGGAACCAAGGGCGAAAAGAGTGCATCATTTCCCAGACTTTGGGCTTGTTCTTTGTATCTCCTCAAAGCTGTAACGTGAAGCTCCGTTCCATTCTCAGGTGCGCACAGGAACTTGGGAAGGTGCTCTCTTTCCTCGTCAGTTGAGACCCAATACTTGGAATCTCTCCGGGTCACCGTTCGTGAAAGCAAGGTTGCCTAGGTACCTGAACTCGGACTCGACCTAGATGTTTGCAAAATCTTCTGAGGCAGGAGGTCGTCTTGTCTGAATCCTTCTTCATCTGCACCTCCAGGCTGCCTTTTTTATTCCATCCCTACCCAACCGCCCTCGCCTCCAACTTTCCACAACTCGAAAGATTTTCGCTCCTGACATCGCAACAAATTGTACTAAGAAATACGAAGTCATCGCCGATCATGGGAGACTACATCAAGAAAGAGGCCAGCGACGCCCACCTACCGACGAACCAGGATTTCATCACCATCTCCCACGGTTCCAGAACCCGCGTGATCCCGAAGCCGACCAAATACGCCATGCTGGACAGAGCCATTCGCGACCATTTCTACATCCCCGATGACAAGAGAATTAGAATCCATTTCACTCCTAGCTGGATGGAGAAGGAAGTTGAGCTTGACCTGAACTGCTTCTGCCTAGTCGCCAATCATGACGCTTTTCGTGTCGAAGTCGCGCAGACCGTTTTAGTCCGGGTCAAGGATGGTATGTCCTCCGAATCCCACCCACTGTCATTGATCCCATCTAACACACAATCGCTCTAGTCGGAATGGAGCACACCTATCTGATCGACAGCTGGTGCCCGCTGGGAAAGGTGCTTGAGAAGTTCCGCCCCCGAAACGTTGCGCTCTTGTACAACGGTGTACTAGTCGAGGATTTTGACACTCCTGAGGCCCTGAAGGCAACTGGTGGAAGCATGCTCATGGAGCTCCTTTTTGTCCCTATGTGGCCTACGATCAAATGCGATTGAGAATTCTTCGAGCAGCAGCAGGGACCTGCCATCGCAGCTTCTCTCTGAATATTTGAACGGTTGCTGACAAGGGAGGAGACACTACTCAATCAGAGGTTCTTGAGGATTAAATTTGTCATGGCCATTATCGCATGGAAGCATCCAGCAATGACTATGGGGAATTGATGAAGGAGACATGCGTCGAGAACCTTGCATTTCACTCATAGTACTGACCAAAGAAAGCTTCGCGTCAAGATAGCCTAAGTTACTATTGAAAGCCGGTATCAGGCAGAACCACCTCCCAACGTCTATGTGGTTACTTCTAAGTTCCGTCCTGGAAATTCCATATCAGTAGAGCAGTCTGGATAATCAACAGTCAATCTAATAAAAACTAAGATGGAATAAGCCGAATTCAATTGTACATTTTCATGGACGATCAAAGTCGACGATGGCTACTCTCAGCCACAGAACAACGACAGCTTGCTGCGGCCCGTCAAATCATGCAGACGGCCCGGCAACCAGCCCGTTTGATGAATCCCCACCGGCCCCAGCACCCAATTCGGTCCCTGCCAGCGTGGCTCGCTGATTCATTTCCTTTCACACATTCTATGAATCGACAATAACGTTGAGCGCGAGACTGCGCTGAGCTCTTAAATATGGCATCCGCGGCGCCCCAAGCGGAAAGTCCACCACCGACGAAGGACGCCAAGGTCAAGCAAGACCCTGTGGAGGAAGATAAATACGAGCGCGAGCCCTGCGAAGCCGTTGACGATCTGCGCACAACGTGCATATTCACCGCGCTTTCTGGGCTCTTTCTATCCGAGAAGTATGCTGACATGACCATCACCTGCAATGGCAGCACTTTCAAAGCTCATCGGGCTATTGTATGCCCCCAGTCGTCCTTCTTCGATAAGGCATTCTCCGCCTCATTCAAGGTAGCCACCCAACTCACTCTTTTAGGAATAGGAGCTGACGAAAAAGAATAGGAAGCCGCCTCAGGAACCATCGACTTACCAGACGATGAGCCCTCTATCTTCCGGCGCTTGCTTCAGTTTCTCTACACGGGAAACTACGACGATGGAGTCACGCCGACGCTCGGGAAGCCGGCTACGATTTCCCTGTTGCAGCCTGACGAGGTTGCCGATGAACTCGACGCAACGATTGGCGTAGAAGATCCCCGTAGAGGGAGAAAGGTCCCCAGAAGAACATCCACCAGCTCCAGACACCCTAGCTACTCGGCTGAGAACCTGGATGGCAGCGGCGACGATACGACTAGCGTCACCGACGATGAGAGCTTCTCCGGCTCCTCGGGGTTCGACCCGGGCTACATAAGGAGACAGCCATCGGGCCTCGAGCCGGAAGAGGAGTACAATGAATTCTCCGGCGAGAACGTGGCCGATGAGCTCGCGGACGGCGCAGACGACACCATCAACAAAACGCTATCGCAATCCGAGGGAGCGGGCAACGACGTAGTGACCCTAGTAAAGAAGGAGCTCTACGGCGCCCGAGATGACTTGTTTCTGCACCTGCGTCTATACGTCATGGCCGACAAGTACGACGTGCCAGCCCTCAAGCTCCTGGCTCGAGAGCGCTTCTATCGATCGGCGGAACTGAGTTGGGAGGTCGCAGACGAGTTTCCTGCTGTCGTTGATGAGTTGTACAGCGACACCATTGAGACGCATTCTGCGATGCGAGATATTGTGTGCCGGTTAGTTGGAAACCAAGTGGGGAACGTGCGAACGAGGGAGAGGATGGAGTGGGTTATGAAGAAGCATGGCGAGTTCGCCGTGGGAGTTATGAATTATTACATCTTGTCGAAGGATGGAGAGTTTGCCTGGTCATGATGGGGCCTTGTCGATGGCAGAGAAAAATTGTTCCCCAGGCACTTCTTCAAGGATAGTTAATGTACAAGATTTAGTCAGCCAGGAAGATTCCCTTGCGACGTCGATTACTGACCTTTGAAAGCACAAGTATTAGGGTGGCTATCTCAAGAAGTATAGCTCACAGAATCACATCAACGGGTATTGATTGCTGAGTGACAGGTACCAGTTACCCTATCCGCATCTATTGATAAGCACTTCCAATTGAAAAGGTCCAAATGAGACAATTAAAAAAGAGGGAAGCATCACAAGATGACGGAGATTCTATCCATTCACTTGGAACAAGTTATGAGATGGCTCTCCAACTAAGTTGATATCGCTGGTGCTGTCTTTATTGGAAACACATCTTCCTTTTGAGAGCTACGAAATAATTGAATTGGAACTTCTCATGGAGTAAAAGGGTCTCATTACAGCACTTGACTCGCACGCGAACAGAATATCTTGGTGGCAAGTTTGTGACTGCTGATTGAAGCTATGAGCCCCTTACATTGTGAGGTTGTAATTTGTGTCTTTCCTCCTAAGCTCAATCATGCCACAAGGCAACCCCAATGACTCGACCGTATCAAAACTTCGGATTGTTTTGTCGTCATGCATGAGAATGAAGGTACCGGGCTTGCAATTTCGCATATTTCCGTACTGATGAAGAAGCCCACCAAATGGTTCCCAACTGTCAATCACAAATTTGTCACCTACAAATGAGAAGTGAGAAATGTTGTCATCGGATAGCAGAAGCCACTTACCTCGGGCGTCCACTATGTGAATGAGAACTTTTTCTGGGAATCGAACCCAAATTACATGGCCTTCACTCAACACTTCAAAGGAGTCCTTCACAAGCTCCACCTCCGTATCTTTCCATCTGATGTACAGACGAAATATGTGTGAATCTTTTATATCAAGCAGTCTGCAAACGGTTTGCTGAAGGTCGTGCCAGGTGTCCGGCCTCTGAATGAGGACCTTTCGCT